GTACTTCCCCTTACATACACACACACACACACACACGCACACACACACAACCACTAGCAATGGAGGCTAAATCACTCACTAGGGAATGATTTAGCCAGCTCATCAGCTGAGTTTATAAAATACACTTGTTATGGGTTTGCAGCTTCTTTATTATGCTAAATAGACAAGGGCAGCCGGGAAGTACTTTCAACTTTTTGCCCTGGTGGCCACTGGCTGAGATTCAGCATAGGGGCTGATGGGTGTTCAGAAGACTGGGCTGAGCCAAGGGTCTCAGTAACAATTGAGGATAATTGATAAATATCAATTATTTTCATACACATTTTTTTTTTAATTTGGAAGAAAAGTGTTGATTTAGAAGGACTGCTGAATCAACCTGTCACTCAGAGTGCCCTATACTGATCCTTCCAGGGCCAGGCTGCTGTATTTGCTGGCCAGAGATGCCCCAGTCCAGAGGCTCTTCAGCCTGGCACTGCCACAGAGAGAGCAGCTCCTGCACCAAGCGCAGCCCAGGCCTCTGAGATGCCAAAGGAGACTCTGAAATAGTACGTTTGTTCTGCTTTTACTGCCACATCTTTAAAAAAAAGAATTGCTACACTAGAAAGAATGGATTATGAGTAAATAAAAAGAAGCTGTCAGTCTCTTTGAAGGTCGTGTTTAAAGGGACTTGCCAAGTCAGAACAGAAGAGTGACAAGATAGAGACCCTGGTGTTTTACAGACTCAGCCCGGCTCTTCCGCTTCATCTGCACCGCACTAAAGGATGTGTTGAAGCATTGAATCACAAAAAAAGTGGCACGCAAAATAAAAGGTGCCACATCACAATGATTGTAGTGTTTTAACTGCGGAGGGCCACATTACCCAACCCAATTGAAACACAGGTCTACGCAGCCCGAGGAAACGGTATAATGCTTACATAACTTATAAATAAGTAGAAGTCTGCCTAACATTTGACTTCCTAATGAGTGTAATGAGATTACATGCCTGATGGAAGCATTTGAGGAAAAGCAACTTTCGTGTTTAATGAGGCCCTAATACAGGACAAAATCGAATTCTTTTCTCTGGTTCCCAAATTCTGACTTTAGTGTGAAATCTCTATCTTTAAGAGGGAGTTAAAGGAGGGGCTGCGATGCCTGAAAGGGTTGAGAGGGTCCACCGCCAAGGGTCTCCTGGTAGCTTGGAGACTCAGAATCTCCGACTGGCTGGGCCGCGCTTTGGGGTCGGACTCAAGGCCTCGCTTTAATTGTTCTTGGACAACGTCCATAGCACCCCTGGCGCGCAGGGAACACCTCGGTGGGTCTGAAACTAGGTTAAAGCAATTAGCTTGCTGCCGACATATTGTCCTTCGGCAGGGCCTTTGGTACCGGGGAGATTACTGATTGTAGCCTGGAAGATCAGGCCGGTACTGGCAGTGGCGCAGCAACTCTCCTGGGCCATGCCTTCTCTGAAAGGCGACTGTGGGTCCGCAGAAAGATGCGCTCTTGCGGTGCGCAGCCCCGCACTGCATTTCCCCTTTGAGCCCGCGGTGTTCGAGCGTCTACCCCAAGCCCGGGCTTGGGTCCGCCTGGGAAGGCGCTCCGAGGGCCCAGGAGGCGTGGGTAACCGTAAATGAAATCCACTGGAACCGCGGGGTTCCAGAGCTTTCTGGCTGTGCGACCCTGACCGCGCTCTCAAACTTCTCTCGGTCGCTAGGGGGCAGTCCTACGTCCTCCTCGCGAGGCTCGCCTTCCTCCCACACCAGGCTGGTTGCCAAGGAAGATTGAAATTCTGAAGGCGAAAGGCAGTCTTTCTCTTTCAGTATCCGAAATAACCCAGTTGCAGAAGTGACTGAGGAAGAGGGCATGGTCCTTTTCGCCTTACGAAGAAGACCCTGGATATTGTTGGGAGGCATCCAAGGCCCCCCTCCCCCACCCTCTGGCCTCAGCGCCCAGTCACCTGCCCCATCTCCCTTAAGAGAAATACGTCTAAATTCCATGTACCTGACCTGCCGCTGCAGAAAGAATAGGCCACAGGGAAGCTCAAGAGGAACACTTTATCTCCAGCCTGTGCAAGCACAAAGACCTTTTCTCATGGCCAGGCCCGAAATTAGCCCCCTGTCCCCACTGCACGCAGAGAATTCAGTTCATACACTATGACTGGATTAGGCAGGGTAGGGGTAACCTTGGGTAAGTCAAACATCGTCTCTGAGGTTCAGCATTTCCCTCTGAAGAATGGGAATAAACAGCCCATGATCGACTTGCCTCACAGAGCGTCTGAATGGTAGGATAAAAATACAGGCAAAAGTCTCTCTTTAGGGCAGATGATGCGGAAGAGTGGCGCCCTTAGAGAGTTGGGGCCTAGCCGTCCAACCCACCTCCTTTCAGCTAAATCTCATTAAAATGTGGTTTCTTAGTAGAGAGCTACGTTTTGAGTCTCTAGTTCAGTTATTTTTTACAGGGTAAGTTAACTATTCTTTTTAGAGATATAGCTACCCCTATCATGTATTAAACAAATAACTTTTAGAAAAAAGGTGTAAATAGCATTTATTAACATCGCTTAGAAATAAATCATATCTCACAATAAATTAGCACGAAGTTTCCTGGACAGAGTTCTTCCAACAACGTTCTGCCAAAGGTGCTGGGGGGAATCATAGGCTAGTGCATATTTTTAGACAATCAGGATAAATTATATAAATTATATATTTAAAAGAGAGTCTATTTCATTACCTTGACAGCACAATAAATAGATAAATAAGAAACAGTTGATTGCCATTAGAAAAAGCGTGATTCTTAAATTACATTCACATTATAGATATGTACATGTACACTATGCACAGAGACACAATCAGATCCTCAGTCGAGTCTGGGATTCCTCAGGACACAAACTCAAAGTGCGGTTCATTTTCTATGTTGTTGAAGGAAGATTTGCTGTTGAGTTTTCTAGGGTCCTCTGGAGTCCACACTTTGGCTGTTCGGATAATATTTTGTTCCTTGAGTTGTTTTTCATCAGTCCATGAGAGAGAGTGTCCCGCGAGGGGAGGGAGGCCGTAATCCGGGTCGCTCGGAGAGGGGGACCCTAAGGGGATAAGAAGAGAAAACAGAGGATGAATATCCCGCCCTATTCCCAGCAGAGCCCTGCAGTGCTGTAGGGTCCACTCCTTGGTGCCTCGACAGAATAGGAGTCTTAGGTTACATTAGAATGACGCTTTTCCTCCACTCCGCAAGCCCACAGCACTCTTTCCCCAGAACCCCAGGAGCTACATGTCGATCCGGGTCGTGTGCCCTCTGAGCTGAGAGTAAAGTGGCGGGAAAAAAAAATCCCTGAGAAACGCCAGCTCGCGTTCAATGTCCCTGGTGCCCACGGACCATCTGTCCATCCGTCGGTAGGCTTGTCAGCCTCTTCACCCAGTCCCCGTCTCCCTGAGCTGGAATGCGCGCACACTTACGGGTGCCCCGATGGCAGATGATGACCTTCTGGGCCTGGCTCCCCGGGCTGTCCCCGCCCAGGCGTCCGCCACCACAGGACCCCCGGCCGCCCCCCGCGCCGCCGCCGCGCAGTGGCAAGTCGGCCTGCACCAACTCGCTGAGGAAGTTGATGTAACCGATGGCCAGGCGCAGCGTATCCACCTTGGAAAGGCGCTTTTCGTAGGGCAGCGTGGGGATGTGAGAGCGCAGCCCCTCGAAGGCATCGTTGATGGACTGCATGCGCCGCCGTTCGCGCACGTTAGCCGCCTGCCGCAGCTGCTGCAGCTCCGCCTCCGAGCGCACCCGCCGCCTCCGCCGTGCCGCAGCCGCAGCCGCAGCCCCGCTCAAGCCCCGCAGCTGGGTCCCCGGAGACAGCACCGCAGCCCCAGCACACGGATAGGCCAGGCACGGGGGTGGCGAGCCGGGCGAGTAGGGAAAGCCGCCGGGGGGCGCCCCCGCCTCGCAGCAGTAGCTACCGCCACCGCAGTCTGGCTCGCCTGGGTCCCCGGAGGGCGGCAGGGCAAGTGCGTGTGGGGCCTCCGAGGGCGCGGACTGCAGCAGCAGGCACGCCCCGTCACGGTAGCAGTACTCGTGCAGCTGGTGGCTGAGGAACTCCACCTCGGCCTGTTCTTCAGCCAGCAGCTCATCGCCATCCTCTAGAGGGTCCCGAGAGGACTGGTCGGTGAAGAAGTCCTCCTCATCAAAGTAAGGAGATGGGAAGGCGTCAAGGCCCCCGGGGAAGTGCTCTAGCAGCACCGCGTCCATGCTCTGAGCCGCTGTGGGCTCGAAGGAAGGACTGATAGCCCGAGGTGGTTCTCCAGAAGTTTGACGTTGCAGTTTTTGCTTCTCTGGCAGCGCCCTCTCTCCCTGTTTCCAGGCTCCTAGAGCTGGAGGCGCTGGGGACGGCCTGCTGGCTCCCCGCCCCCGGCCTCCCTGGAGTGCCCACGTCCACTGCGCTCTGGCGGCGCTTGCGCTACGCTGGGGAGGGCTGTGGCCGACTTGCTGCAGCTGAGGGCCGGCACGCGAGGATTCTTATAACTACATCCACAGGCGCGTGCCAGGGACCCGCGGCGCCAGCCAATCACCGAGCCAGCGGGGAGGGGCAGGGGGCCCGGCAGCGGGCGAGGAGGCTGAGAGGCTCTCTTCTAGTCGGGAGCTCCTGTGAAGGAGAGGAGGCGGGGTCTACGCTGCAAGGGGCTCCTACTGCTCCACCTAGCCTGTTCTTCCAGCTAGTGCCTACGGGGTGCACTGCTCCAAGGGCACTTGCAGCCTGCGGCGCCCACCGCCTACTTGTGCTCTCTGCTCAGACTGCCCCCCACCCTTGGGCGAGGGTAATAGCGCACAGCCTCCTCGCACAGCTACAAAAGGTCCTAGGGGTGCCCTCTGACGGCCCAGATGGTGGGAGCTGCCTCCTTCTCCGGGTTTGGCTCAGAAAATACCTGCGGCTGGGGAGGTCGAGTTGGTGCATTTCGCTATCCCCATACCCTGGGCGCGCTGGCCTACGGCTGGCCTGGGTTCTATTTCATCCTCTCAACTTCGAAGAAGTCTTGTAAAAAGTTTGGCACAGTGTACGCCAGTGGGGTAAGAAGGTGACGCAGTCCAGCCTCCATAGGCGATCCAGACGCTGCTCGGGGTTTATGGACGCGAGCTTTCAGGACACTCTGGTGCGAGTGTCCGTCCCCAGTGACGCCGGCTCCAGGTCGGCCTCGCCTCCTCTGCCTTACGCGGCCTAGAAAAATTACAGGGAACACTGGAGAGGCTGTCTCGCAGGGCAGCTCAGTTGGGCATGTTTCTTCGGAGAGCAGAGCGAAACCCTAGGGGTTCGAATCAATAAAACCTGGTAAAGGAGTCAATTGAACTGCTATGGAGCAGTCCCGAGGAAGGGTGAGACGTTAGAGGACAGAGTGGGACCGTTTTCAAACTTGAGTTTCTCACCTTTCTGACTGATAACCAAGACCATCCTTGAACTTTTTATTCTTTTTCGAACTTAAGCCCCGCCCCCGCCGCCCCCCCCCCAACGTATGCGCTGTGCCCACACTTTATAACAGACTGCGAGGTAACACGAATTCCTCAGTTTAAAAGTAACAAACACACACTTTCAAGGTCAGGCAGTTCTTGTTAAAAACCTAGTTCCCGCTTCCACTCCTGGAGAGTTAAGAAATGCAGCCGAGAGCGGGTGTTCTCTCAATAGAGGATGGAAGCATGGTTTTCCAGGGTCAGTGGATTCCTTTTACAGACCTTTGTCCCACCAGAGGCTTCTAGTGGGTGTTCATACTCATCTCAACATCCAAGGCCATGCCCCTTAACACTTGCTGTTTAAACAAGCTTCTTGCCCTGGCTGCTGTGTCTTAGTGGATTGAGTGCTGGCCTGCAAACCAAAGGGTCATAGGCTTGATTCCCAGTCAGGGCACATGCCTGGGTTTCCGGCCAGGTTCCCAGCAGGGGACGTGCAAGAGGCAACCACACATTGATGTCTCCCTCCCTCTCCTCCCTCCCTTTCCCTCTGCCTAAAAATAAATAAATAAAATCTTTAAACAAGCTTCTTGTTTTTAGATATTACACTGTATTTAACTGAATTCTGAGACAAAAAGAAATTTATAAGATTAGAAGATCAGAGATTACTCAACCTGGGGTGGAGCAGAGATGGTTGTCAAGGACCTCAGACAATTTTAAGCCAAAGACATGCTGTTTTTCAGCATACTCTGTCCTGTGTTAGCTTCTTAGCCCTTCCTAGTGAGGTGGTTGTCCTTAAAATGATGCAAATGTAGACAGGTTCCCTGTGTCAGAGCCTCAGTGTCAGTGTCCTTCATTTAGACTTATCTTTGTCACCTTAAAAAGAGGGAAACTGTTGGGGGTGGGGGATCAAGAGCAGGGATCTAACCAGCTGGTATTATACATCCAATTCTCTTTATGTTGAAAAGGACTTCCTCCCCTTCCCTCCCTTGGTTACATTAAAACCATGTGGGAACATGCCCTTGGGTCAACCTGATGACTTGGAAGGGTAACAAATGAGTAGACTTCAACGCTTATCCCAAACAATGATAATCATTCAGTGAAGGAAAGACTGGATTCCAGCCCATAAAGCCTCTCTTTAGTATCTATCTCTGATAGATCTAGGTGGCTCTTGAGAAAGTATGTTTGTGTCATGGATATGTTTGGGGTGGCATGGCTTGGAGACATAGAAGTCAGTGAGTGTATATATGGGTAACTTTTTACCCAGTGTGATTTTAACAGTTTTCAATGAAAATCATCTTACATGTGCTTGATAAGTTTGTGGAAGGGTACAGAAATCTACCTTCGGCACCCAGGTGAGCTAATGCTAAGTTGGCTGCTGGTAGAAAGCCTTACTATCATATCCTATGACACTGAACAGGGCATGGTTGTTCTAGAGTAGGGTGTCAAACTCATTTTCACTGGGGACCACATTGGCCTTGTGGTTTCCTTCAAAGGGCTGAAATAATTTTAGGACTGTATAAATGTGACTACTTCCTTAACTGTTAAGGAGTTGAAATTACATTCAGCCCTTTGAAGGCAACCATGAGGTTGATGTGCCCCCCACCCCCCATGAAAATGAGTTTGACAGCCCTGTCCAGAGCATGCAGTTCCTACACTGCGTGGAAAAGCATGGGGTAGGAGAAAAGAAAAGATATTCACCTGTGCAAGACAACCCTTCTTCACCCTCTCCTTCCCTACCCCACCCTTTGAGGATTTTTCCCTTTGAGGATTGGTGGCTGACTGCAGACTGGTAGCACTGGAAAGTGAGAGCTAGGCTTGTAGATGCTGATACTGGGATACTAGTGTGGGCACTAATGCATGCAAATGCACACACATGCATACACATCCTGCCCCTGAGTAAGGGAAGATTGTTCTTCTCTCTAATAAAAAGAAGAAAGACTTCACCATTAATAAAGGAAATTTTCTCCGGGTCATTGGAAGTCACAACAGTGTGGATAGAGGCCCTTTGCCTCTCAAAGCAACAGGTTGGGTGAGAAGATGGCTGGGACAGAACCTTGTCTTGCCAGGTTAGAGATCCAAACTCTCATTCCAGCCCCACCCTCCTCACTGCCCAGATCCTCTGACAGTAGGGGAACATGGAGAAAGACAAGATCAAAAGTTTCCAGGTGCTTCATGAAGATCTGGGACACTGCTTCAAGCTTCTCTACCCTCTGTCCTCAGGAGAAATGTCCTCTAACCTTAGGAACCCCTGCCTCATTGTAAAACAGTATCATCCCACGGGCAGTGGCAGGGACACTTGGTTCTTTTTAGTGACAAATTCTAGTGAGGCCTTGACATATTTTCAAGTCTTTTGAACGAAACTCAGTGCTGGGCCCGGTAGACCCCCCACGACACCTTCAAGGCTGCTCAGAAGCCTCTGCCATCTTGGAGGTGCTCAGTTTCAGGAGACCTTCTGGAAAGGGCTACTGGGCATTAAGGAAGCCTTGTAGCACCTCTTTCTTCCTCCTACCTCCTTCCCTCCCAGTGGTCTCAAGGGTCTGAATCCTTGTTCATTGTTTCTTATTGTATATTTCAAAACTCTCCCCAGCTTCTAGGAACAATGACCAAAGGCTTGAAACTCACATCCTGGCTCCTTCCCAGGATGAATTTCAGGCAGAGCCCACTAATAAAGAATGTGGCATCCAGGCTCTCCATCCTTCAGCTTCCCCTTCCTATGTTCCCAAAGTGCTTGATGCCACTTAGCTGAGTCTTCCCTGACAGAGCCTAAACTCCATCGATACCAGGTGTCCCCAGAGTGTTCCACTCCCCATTTAGTGCTTACAAGCAGGTACTTGTGGATGTGATTCATGGTCTATCTCACCCCTTGAAAATGGGTTCATATTAATTCCTCCTGACACAAATTGTCCCCTCTCTCATTCTTAAATACAAGGTAATGCCCAGTGTCTGGTTTGTCCTCTTCCGTGTCTTTTCCTCCCTTCGTTGCCACTGTCTTCCTCCCCTGTTCTGTGAAACCTTTCTTCTCCCCACTTGGGTCCCCTCATCAACCCACTCTTTCTTCCTAAAACCTTAGGAAATGGTTTGAAAACTAAAATCATGGGTTAATGCTGAAAGATCTCTGCAGTCCACGGAGGTTGTGACTTCCCTAAGGTCACACAGCAGCTTACTGTCAGCCCCAATCCACCTCAGTTCAGTGCTGGTTGCACTGGCTGCAGAGAGGAGATTCCAACTCTGCTTCCATTCACTCATAAGAGGTATGTTTATATTGATGTGCAATTTAGTCAGTATAAACCCCATTGTAAACTGTCTCAGATTATCAAATACCACCTTTTTGGTCTCCTGCCTTGACTCTCCAGAGTCCTGGCTGCACCTCCTGATGTGCTGTGGAAGGAATCACTGAATGGTGCAATTCCCAGCATAAGACAAAGTATGCAAAATTAAATATAGGATTATGGGACTTACACTGGTCCTCAAAGTCATACTATATAAATTATGGATGTTTTATCCACTTAGAAGGTCTACTGTGACCAGGTGACATTTTGTTCCATCTAATTCCTTGACTTAGTGTAAAAGGTCTTCCTTTAACTGCCTCCCCTCCATTCTCCTTATGTATTTGCTTCGCCATCTAGTTGACTGTTCATATCATCAGATGCTATGATCCCTCTCTGGTTTTCTTTTTTTTTTTTAAGATTTTATTTATTTATTTTTAGAGAGGAAAGGGAGGGAGAAAGAGAGAGAGAGAGAGAGAGAGAGAAATATCAACGTGTGGTTGCTGGGAGTCATGGCCTGCAACCCAGGCATGTGCCCTGACTGGGAATCGAACCTGCGACACTTTGGTTCGCAGCCCACGCTCAATCCACTGAGCTACGCCAGCCAGGCCCTCTCTGTTTTTCTTTGTTCCCCTCCTACTCTTCGTCCCACTAGTCTGAGCTCCCTGGTTTGGTTTGAAGGTCTTATATTTATTCTATCATAAGACAGGTAAAAGGAAGAAGACTAACATTAGAAGAGATGGGAATGAGCATTTGAGAGGACTTTCAG